CACATTAGGACCCATAATCCTCATAGAACAATCCCTGACGTCTGTAAGCTACTTGAACATAGTTGCAGACCAGGTTCACTCATTCATGGCAACAGTTTTTCCTTCGGAGGATGGAGTTTACCAACAGGATAATGCACCATGTCATAAGGGTCGAATTGACATGGATTGGTTCGAGGAACATTCCAGTGACTTTCAAGTCATGTCTTGGCCCCCAAATTCACCTGACCTTAATCCAATAGAGCATTTGTGGTCCTACTTGGAAGACCAAATTCGTGCTGCCACGCTACCCCCTCGCTATGTGAGGTAATTGCAGGATACAGCTGGTGAGCGCTTGGCACCAGATACCTCAGACTACCTATCAGCACCTTGTGGAATCAATGCCATGGCGGGTGCTAGCAGTTTTGAGGGCTTAAGGTGGACCTACATGTTATTAGCAGGGTGGTCATAATGATATGACTCTTCGGTGTATATGTAAGAATAACATTCTCATTATGTAAAAAAAGAAGATAATGACTCACTCCCCTCCATAAGTTAACCCGTCGGTGAATGCACCACAACCCACAACTGATTAGCTTAGACAAGTTTGACTGTACTTTGAGCTGTAGAACATTGCAAATTTGTTGCAATCATAATAAGGTGTTAAATATAACCGTGTTTCTGTTCAGGTTGAATATTGGTAGCGTATAATCGAGCTTAATTAGGAGCACTATGTTTAAACTTCCCACTCTATCTAAGTCGCAGCTAATTAAAGTGATATTATGACGCAACAATCTTCCAAGTTTCTAAGAATATTGGCAAAAAATTACCGCGTTTATCAATTTGGAAAAATGTTACTATATCCTTTAATCCACCAACATCTGGCGAGTCTATTTAGTACCCAGATAGACTGTTCAAAACCTAGAAAGAGTCAGCTCCAATTCAGTTAAAAATATATAAACCTATTATCTGTCATTCTCTAATGATTTTATCTATTCTCATCAAACGGGTGAACTCTTAACGGAGAAATCGAAAACGTTATCACTTTTATTCGGAAAACTAAATATTTTTATAGCGTTCACAAAATTGCTTCTTGGTTTAAAAAAAAATGAAATTACAATGGAAAGTGATAACGCTTTTCTCAAGTGACGCAATTAACTGATATAATCCTTTAGCAGCTGCCGAATTTTTTTATTTTTCACTACTTTCATACTTTATTCAATAACAAAACAACATCGATAATCAAGATTGGGACTAATCATGAAGTGGCTCACTGGAATTGTACTTTGCCGTAAGTTGAATGAGAATGAGTACCTTATTTTCCAATTATTTATTTTTTGAACATATTTTATGCTTTATATATTTTATGCTTTGAATATTATATATTTTATGCTTTGAAATTTAAGACACAATTGATAAATATTTCAGCTGTATCGAAATTATTGCTTGATAACAAATCTTTCTAAATATTATAGAAATGAAAATCTATAAAAGAAGTCATTGTTGCAATATAAATTACACTTCAATAATGAAGTGATAAAAATTTATTAAACTTCTTATGCAGTAATTAATATTTAAGAATGATTAAATATAAACTTTCAGACACTAATTCTTCTATTGCAGGGCTTCTTATTCTCTTGTTTGATAAATAACAAGTAATTATTTCATAATTATAATAGCAAATAATAATTTCATTGATAATAAGTAAAATTTATTTTTGTGGCAAATAATCTTAAAATTTTGCTCGTGACATATTTGTTTAAAACTAAATTTGAAATGAATTAGGTGGTTAAGGCAACGATCATAAAGTCTCATCTGCGACTCTAGCTGTTGGATTAAACATTTTACATTTACATAATTACCTCATCCGCATAAATTGAAACATTTGAAACTTAAAGCGCAGTGACACCAATTTCATTTGAATATACAGATTTAATATATAAACGATCACCACTATTCAGATGCCTTCAAAACACTGGAGTCGGAGTCAAAAAAATAATGTGAGAGTCGGAGCTGGAGACGAAAACATTTGCTTGAGATTCAGACTTTAGTAAGTTAAAAATTCGCTCATGTATGTTATCTGAAGAAAAAGAGATTATGATCTGCCAAAAATCATTCAGACAAATGTTTATAATTATGTAATGAAATTTATAACAAAATGTTATGACAATTATTTAATTTTTTAACTTACTGAACTCTGACTCTAGTAAGTTAAATATTTTGTCATGTAGATATTCAGAAGAAAAAGAGATTATGATCTGCCAAAAATTATTTAGACCAAAGTTCATAATTATGTAAGGAAATTTATAACCCGAGGAAATGTTATGACTATTATTTAAATTATTAACTTACTGAACTCTGACTCTAGTAAGTTAAATATTCTGTCTTGTAGATTATCAGAAAAAAAAGAGATTATGATCTACCAAAAATTATTTAGACAAAAGTTCATGATTATATAATGAAAATTATTACCCGAAGAATGACAACTATTTAAATTATTGATTGTCACAAACTTAGTTAAATAAATTTGAACATTTTTAAGCCTGTGTTTAGCCAAACTATTGAAAAAGAACTCAGGAAAACAATAAAAATATTCAATTATCGAGATTAATAAAAAAAGTATCAATAAGTTGTCGTTTAATTTAATAAATTCAAAAGCCAAATTTATTTAACCTCAGTTGGGAGTTACTAAGTTACTCAATTAGAAATTACTCCTCGCTTAGTAACTAAGTTAATTAAACTGAAATAGATGAATAAATTTAATGCATTATTTTTAAATGTTACCTGATTTGTGATTATTCACTTAACAATTTTTTGTCGTGGAACATTTATATATATGCGTGTGTAAAAATAGGTTTGTAGTTTTTTTCTTAAAATGGTTCACACAATTTCAATAATTTACACGAATATATTTGTTTAAATTTTATATCTTCAATCGTTATATTATGATTTTAAAACAAAATGCAATTTTAAATAAAGTGCTTTTTACTTTAATCACGCAAAAAAATATACATATTTGAAATTAACAGTTACTTAAATCGAAACCAAAATAAACTTAATCGAAACTTTCATTGAGCATTATTCGGAGTCGAGCTCTCAGTAAATTTCGAACTTTTCATATGCCGACTTCGTCCACTTCTCTAGCTTTAGACAAGTATGTGTAATCCTACTGTAGTTTTTTTTAAATCAAGTAATGTAAAGAACAAAAAAGATTTATAAAACTGAAATAAATAACTAAAAAGTAAAAATTAAGTAAATATGGTTTCCATTTTAATATTCTTTTTTGGTCCCGTGGCGACCAAGCACCGAACAGATCACCAAATCATTTAGAAAGCATCATTTGGAAAGCATCACTGGAAAGCTTCGGGTGGCCACTTTGTTAATAACAAGCCTGCAATGGGAGTGAGGGTGTGCGGTATTGGATCTCGTTAGCTTGTCTACCGTAAAGTGCTAGACTGCGTGTACAGGTCGTCGGACTACCGAAGAGAGGGTGCCATCCCTTCTACTGAGGATCACAATTGTAATGGCATATCTTCGGATCATCCTCTGGGATGCTTCCCAGAACTTCGCCAATTGTGCAGCTCTAGTGTGGTCAACATAAATTACAACTATAATATTTTTTTTTGTTTTTAGTGTTTGTAGGACTTGCAGCGTGTGATTTTGCATGCTTCAATAATACAATAGGGAAGTGTCAGAAAAGATGGTTTCAAGATCACCACCCAGAAGAATTTACTCTTTGCACGTAAGCTATTTATTGATTATTTATTTATTTGTTATTTATTTAATAAAGCTAATAGGTAAATATTAGTGAAATCAATAACTCTTTCATCACTAACAATCTTAAAGGGAAAGTGCTTCAAAATTATTTCATTTTCATTGTCTGTGTGTGACCACAAGTGTAGAAATACGTTTCCCTCAATATTTCTTGACGAAAATCAAAGGCAAAAGGTGGACGAAGAGGAGATGATGTAAACCTACACGGAAGTCATAGGTTGAAATACTTCTCTTACCTCTAATTATTTCATCAACTGCAGCACTGGATTTTTATAGAGATCACATTAGTGTGGCATATGCACTTCCGATATTGACGGAAAATTCTTCTCAAAACATTTTACACCATCTTTCACAAATTTTCATTCTAAATAGTGTTCGCCTTAAACATCCACTATTCGAACATAAATACCGCGTCATTTTTATCATCGATTAATAAATATAGTAATATTTCGTGTTTTGACGCATTCATGCTTAGCACAATTTTACATTCATTTGAAATACTTTCATGCAAACTGGTTTGTCAGTTATATGCAATTGAATTTTTCTTGCCGTTATTTATAACTGTAAACAGGGATACTGCCATTACCACAGTATATCTGACGTGATCACGTGCATCCACTTTTCATTTAGGCAACTCTTTTGTATTAAATATATACATTGTTGTTTGCAAAAAATACATTGTTGTTTACCTAGAAAGATTGATTGTAAATGCTTAGATTAATTAGACACCCAAAATCTTAAAACATAATCATAATTAATTTAATAAAAGAAAATTATAAACTTTATAATTTAAATTCTAAGTTATTTTATTTGGTTTGACTAACGAAAATATTTGATTAAGCGGAAAACTGGCTTTTCAATTAAGCGTATACATTATTTTCTTACATGATTGATTTTCCTTTTCTCTAAGAATAATAATTAAAATATCTTGAAATACTTTTGCTTGTCTTTAATGAAACTGGGATACCCTATATGTATCAAAGGGTACCTTATACCCAAAATTACATGGTTCTATGAGGTACCTATCAAATTAGATGAAGGGTCCAGCCATTCTAGGTATAAAGCTTTAAATATTTGCTTCTATAAGTCTAACACATGAATGATTAAATAAGCATTTTAACACAACCAAATTATGGAAAGTCAGAAAAACTCAACACTTTCTGTAAGTTATCTTTCAAATTACAGAGCAACAAAATGCGAGAGAGGCCAATTGGCCTCATTCCTCTTTCTAGTTTTAATGATTTGTTTTTTAAAAAAAGTACATTAAGAAAAAGCACGGCTCCTCACTTCATCAAAATCCAGTATGTCATTCCATCACAGTTAATGATACTTTGTTTTGTACACAGTTCTGACAAAACCAGTGACACTTCGTTCTTCTACAAGAAAACAGTAAAGTAAAAATATAGCTCTCAAAACATCTATATAACTATAATCGATCCATCCGCATATCAAGAAAAAAATTATATTTTCTCTTTTTCTTTCGTCGTATGTCTAACTAGAATATGCACTGAAGAGCCATTACATTATGACTAGAGTGCCTGTATTGAAAAGAGTGATGACAATATCCAAGAGCGCATGCGCTGCCGTCAGATTTTTGTCCAAGGGGGTTGCCAGATGATACACCGAAATTGGCGCCACTCGCTCATTTGGTGTTATTCTGAAGGTTCTGTTATTCTAAGAGTATATACTAAAGTATCAATAATATAAACTTTAAGATTGGAAAGCACATGATATTACAGATTTTTTAAGAAACATTGTCTAGCATCTGAAATTGTTAAAAAATTAACGTCAATGAAAAAAAAAAAACTTATGAAAAGGCTTCAGCTTTTAATAAATGCCTTAAATAAAATATAAAAATTAATAATGATTATGCCATTTATTTCAGAAATAATAATTAATAATACAAATTATATAA